AGTATATAAGCCCGGCAAATAAAGCGGAGATAAAAATTGCAGATAGATAGATTTTGAGACAGATAATTGAGTCAAGCGAGCGGTAGTGACGGTAATATAAAGTGTGTGTTTTGTTATCTAGATTGCAAACGTATTGACTGTGGAAATTCTGTGTATTGCAAAGTAGTATCGAGAAATAATAAACTAGTTTTAATTAAGAAAGGACTTGTATCGCTGAAGTTTCTCGGAAAGAATTTCTACGGGAAATCAACAAACAACCAGATACGCAACAATACTGTTTACTTGTACAAGTAAAAAATATTGTGTTTATCATTGACATTTTATTCAATGTGATCCTTGGGCCTGATGAACACTTGAAAGTTTTTGAATGTCCGGTTGCAGTGTGGTCAGTGATAATCGAAGATCACCCCTCTTCACAACATCAAGGTGGTTATGTTTTTTGATAGCAAATAAGTCACCCGACTAAAACCAGATTCAACCAGGTAAGATGTGGGAAAAGCGATAAAATACAACTTTGCCTTCTCCAAGAGCTGTGGAAACTTATTAGCTATTTCACTATTTATCCAGAAATAATATTTATCACGTTTGAATCTAGCTTGGGCTGTTATATCACTCTGCTGCTCTTGAGAATCAGTCGAAAACATTCACAGATACCAGACAAACATTGTGATTGTTACTCAAGTACTAGTCGCGTCTGGTAACTTGACTTTTGAGCTGTGGAGGATACGGGGAGAAGGGAACCTTTGATTCAATATTAAATATTTTATTCGGACAGTGAAGTTCGGTGGCCCATTCAGAAGTTACTGTGATCCCCTAATTTTCCGTCATTCACGTGTGGCATCTTAGAAACATGGCGTGGCCCACGTTGAGAACTACTGGTCTAAATCATGTTACTGCAAATGTATTTTAGGCAGTGTACATATAATAGTGTTTTGTGTTTAATGGACTTTTCTGGCATATTTTTATAGAATGAGGCAACGTTTCATTTTTTATATTGAGACCTTCTTTGGGCCTGAAGAAGCCCCCAGGATGGAAGCCGAAACGTCGTTTTGCTTTAGAAACAGTCACCAGAGTCCATTAAAGCCGAAACTCTACCTGTAATATAAATATATTCTTCTTGGTTCTGGTCTTTTTTATTCCAAGGATCTGACATAGTTTCACAAACAACGTTGATTCAAGGTTTCGGCCCTGATCTGAGTGAAGCTCCATAGGAACTCCAAATCCTGAAACGAATTCGTTGATAAATTTCCTTACTAGAGCTTCTGGTTCCCGGTGAGGAAAAGTATATGCTTCTGTACATTTGGTAAAATACGTATTCCATCACAACCATGATGAAATTATGTCCACACTTACTCTGTCACAGAGTATGAAGCAGTCCATTAAAACCAAATCTCTACTTTGTACTATAAACAAACTGGCAATCAGACACTATCTGACAGTAGTTAAAGAAATATATTGATACAGGTTCATAGGTTTACAAGAGTAACATATACTAATTTCAGTAATTGCACAATAGGTGGCACTCTCAAACGTTGTTGTTTGTTTCAAAGATAGACACATTGAGCTATCTGCTGTGTCAACCGTGGAAAATCGAACCCCCTGATTTTAGCGTTGTAAGTCCGTAAACTTATCGCTGACCCATCAGGAGAAACTCTCAAAAGACGGTTACAATTAGCAGAATTACCACTTGACTCTCTACTCATTTTTGGGATTCTCGCGATCTGATATTGACCTAAGGAGCTCATGGAATCGTGCTTAACTGAAGCTTCAGTTCAACGCAAACTTGTAAATTTTCAAAAGATTTGTCTCAATAATGACAAATTCAGTTTATGTTACAGAATAGTTTCGCTAATTACACTTACAAATTTGCATGTTACATCAGCTCCCACCAATCTAGCTAAGCCAATAAAAGAAAATGATAATTTATATTCTGTAAAGTGTTAGACATATAATTGATAACGAAACATTATGATTTCATTAATCTGACACATTTCATGACCATATTATTGCTAAATTTTGGTCCATATGATAATTTTTATTAGATTTATTAGAGGTTCGAAACACATGAGAATTATTAAACTTTATGAATGAAAATAAAGAATAATACAATAGTATGTTAATTAACATCGCTATATCTGCTACAATTGTGCTGACGAGAGTTTCGTTCAGTAACAGGGCTCATCTCGCCCACTGAGCTACGACAACTGTTTTGGTGTGAACAAAACAAAGCTGATGAACTGTAATTTTTTATCAATTATATTTAAGTCAGTACAATTCAGAATTAAGTTTGGTATTTAATTAACATTAAATTATTTATTTAACATTAAATTATTTTTATTAATATTATTTATTTACTTTAACTTCATAATAATATATCAACTATAATATATATGCTATATTCAGTGTTGACGAGACCTTTCATCCAATACAAGTTGTGTTTCTTTCAGCGCAAAGTTATATTGAGCAATCTGCTCTCTGTCTACTGTGGGGATCGAATCCTGGATTTTAGCTTTGTAAGTCCGCAAACTGAATCAGTGAATGCTGACCATGCGAGAGACTGCAAGTTATGTTATTTGTGCTCTATTTTTTCTCCTAGACCATATATTTTAATATTGTCTGTTGTGGAAAAATTAATGTTTATAGAGAAAGTTTAAAATACGAATTATTGTAGAATGAAATTTATTTTGTGTAGTAGATAATTTAAACTTTTCATAAATGAGTTAAAATTTTTTTACATCGTATATTTTTAACAGATCGCATGAAAAAGCGAGATTTAACGAGAAGTTAACGGCCATGGCAAAGAGAAATTAAAATGGCGGACATAGGCACACCTAGTAGGCATGAGAAAAGTTTAGGGCTATTAACAACAAAATTTGTGTCTCTACTACAAGAAGCTAAAGATGGTGTTCTAGATTTGAAAATGGTATGTGAATGTTACTATTTCAAAAAAGTATAGGTGGAAGATTATTATGAATTTTACACGTATATAAAGGTGTTGAAATTTGATAATGATACAGTGATACTGATAGATAAATAATGGGTTATGGTGAAGAAAAAGGCCCAGCTTCCCATGTAAAGTTTAATTTGTTTTACTTTTAGCTGTGTAGGTAGCTTAGAAGTTAGATACTAAGATAGGCAATATACAATGCAATCAAAAATGGCAAAAGAAGTACAACCATCATGTTACTTAAAGTACTTCCATGCGACGTTTGTATAATTTTTATAAATGAAGATGTCGCAGTGATATGACATGACTCTACTACTACTGCTGAGTACTAGTACTACTACCACTAGTAGTAGTAGTAATAATAATAATAAAACATTAGCTTCGTTGCAGAGAATATAAAAGTTATAATTGTGAAAGATGTAATGAGCCTTGCCAGAGCATGTTGCTGAGGTTGTTTGGAGACAAATATGTGCTTGAATTTCAAAAACAGCATGATTGTTTTATGACTATTTTGAATGCTACTAGTAAATGTGTATAATCTTTATGAATAACTTACTTACAACTTAGCAATCAATGTGTTCGAAGAAAAACGAAGTTTGACAATAAAAAGGATAATAGTACCTAAGATGAACAAAATTGTTTATTTATAACAGAAAGGGATGCAGATAAACATTTTGGAATTTTACAGTTTCCAAAATGTTTATCTTCATCCCTTTTTGTTATAAATAAACAATGTTGTTTATCTAAAGTATCAGTATCCTTTTTATTGTCAAACTTAGTTTTTAAACTTTTAGTGCCATTTATTCATTTTTGAAACTTACTTTTTATTGATATATTACAAGTCAAAAATTAACAATAACACGAATAGTTGAGGCTTTATACTTATTTGCATGGAAAGTTGGGTCCTTCACCATAACCCTCTTTTAACTAAGATTTGAATGACTACCTCAGAGTCTAATGTACTTATGCTCTGCATCACACTGTTTCCTCTAATCAGTTACTGTTAGGAGTGACATGTCTTCTCATGGTGTACATTGGTTATTTCACCAAACTATAATTAATTTCATAATACTGTTTTTACCATTTTAAAATAAACTATAATATGGGCAGAGAAAAATGAAATTTAAAACTTAAGTTTAAACCACTCTAAATCTATTCATGTTAGGATTCTTATTGGACTTTTAAGCACATTATTCTAAACCATTTATGCACCAAATTGCATACGAATTTTTGACTTTGTTAATTATAGAGTCCCTACTTAAAATAATACCAGTCATATACTTTTTAACAGAAAAGGATGTTGACAAAAGTACCAACTTAAATTTAGAAGTAGTGTGGCAATCTATATCTCATTGTTCATCTTTTACTTTTTATCATTTCCTTATTGCACATTTATACATTACTACATGTGAAAGTCAGTTGTCTTTTGATAATGCTCCATTTGTCTGTGTTACTTAACAACAAAACTATGACATAATATTGTTGTCTTAAGTATGTATATAATACTTTGAATGTTCACAAGGGCTAGTTTGAGTTCCATTTTTTTAGATTGTTTTACATTTTAGTTTATGCATATATTTAAGTTGACATAAAAGGTTCTCAATGCATGAATACCAATATATTTTTATTGTTTATCTGTTATAGCTTCCTTTTACTTGTAATTACTTTTCCTTTCATCTTTTTAACCACAAACAATTCACTTTTCTCTCAAGTCTGTATGTATTTTACATTATATGTTCTATTTATTGCTTAAATTTCAAAAACTTTATTTGATTTTAACATAAAACAAGAATTGAATCCATATATGGAAATTTCTTTCCAGTGTTAAACTATTAGGTTAATAGTTTATCTGATATACATTGTTGATAAAGTAATGCTATAATTTCACTTTTCAATATATTATGTGAGTTTTGCAAGCATTACTCAGGCAAGCTATAAGAAGGATCTACATTTGGAGATTATTCTTCGTAGTTTAACTTGCACTACAGTTAAGGTTTAAACCACTCTTACAAAGCATGTTAAATTACACTTGGAGTTAATAAACCTGACAATGTATTTGTAAATTGGCTATTAACAGTGATATACCTTTGTTTTTTTAATCAAACTTTTCCAAGTATAAGTGACAGCTTACATTTTAGGCTTAACAATGTATAATAATATTCACTTGCTTGTCCTCATGTCTTAATCTTTTAAACTGATGTAATTAATTGTCTCTACAAAATGAGAAAGATTTTATTTATTTTCTTGTGCTTGTTTCGTGTATTTGCTTACTTTTAATATGGTTTTGTAGGCAGCAGACACGCTTGCTGTGCGACAAAAAAGAAGGATTTATGATATAACCAATGTACTGGAAGGGATTGGATTAATCGAAAAGAAGTCGAAGAACAGTATTCAGTGGAAGTAAGTACTAGCAGAAAAATGTGATATTTCAGAGCAGGATTAAAAGATTGTTGGTCTCAAATATTTCATTACTATACTTTTTTAAACAGGGGGGCAGGACCTGGATGTAACACTAGGGAAATCTCTGAACGTCTAGTGGCTTTAAAAGAGGAACTTCGCCTGCTTGAACAGACAGAAGAAGAACTCGACCTCCACCACTGTTGGGCACAGCAGAGTATTCGAAATATCACAGAAGACCAAACAAATTTCCAGCTAGCCTACGTCAGTCATGATGACATCTGTCGTTGTTTCGAAGGTGATACTCTACTAGCAATACAAGCCCCTTCGGGAACTCAGTTGGAAGTGCCTCTACTAGAGGAGGTCAGCTACCAAGAACCAAAATATGGGGTTCACATATGATTGTATTTAAACTTAAGATATAGTTTTGAAGACCACGAGTGTTTTGCCTAAAAGCATATTTGAAATCTTATAAATAAATCAAACATTGTTATTGATGAACAATATTGCTTTTTTTAACTGTATGTACCAAAAGGTTGTTGATATGGCCAATTTCATGAGTAACTTGATTCGTTTGAAAAGTGCGTTAGATGTTTCATAGTTGACGAAGCTTTCTTCTCTAGTGAACTGTGCCATTGACATATAACAAATTGTTTTTATATTTAACTTATTTACTGAATCTATAGTGTAAAAACAATATATTTTTCTCTGAAAGCAAATTTGAAAAGATAAAATTGAAATATTTTCCCACTTGAGTAGTAGATACCGAGCCTGAACTGAAATGAGCTTCCAATGTTTCTTCCATAGTATGGATCACAGAAGAAGAAATATCAGACTCATCTGAAGTCAAATTCTGGACCTATTAATGTCCTACTGGTAAATAAAGAAAGTGATTCATCCAGTCCTGTTGTAGTTCAGGTAGGATTAGGTTTGAGTATATTCTTTAAGTTTAAAGAGTTTAAAAATTGTAGAGCTGACATAACAGTTATTTTGCCATTAATTGAAATAATATCTCTGCTTATTACTATATAAAAAATATTTTAATGCTAGTGCTTATGCCATATAATTTAACTGAATGTGCTCGGGGTCAGCACCATGGACCAGCCCCCATACTGGAGAAGGGTTGATTATAATTTTGAATTTACTAAACATATCTACATGAAGTGTTTCAAGCTTTTAGTGAAACATATAAGTCTATCGTATAAAAAAAATGGTTGGATATCTTACAAACATATTTGTACTCAAAATATGTCTGTGATTTGCTGTCGGTCCGACTCAGACTTCAACAAATCGGAGTACAGAGTTATGTTTATGTGAAGAGTAAAAACACTTTTGTCCATCACATAGTTTACATATTGCATAACTTCTAGAACCACCAGTATGCATACATACAGTTGTTTTTCTAGTGTCCCTGTATATTGTATCTTGTACTTACTTTCACCTATCACAAACTAAATTAGCAATGCGGGGTAAAATGGAAAGTTGATCATTCGTAATACCTTGTTGAATGGCACTCTGTAAAAGGTCATGGCATACACAGTTTGATCCCCACCCATACACATAGAATTAATTGTATATAATCCTTCAATTCAGAATAAGAATTCTCTGTACTAGTATACTGTTTTGTTCTATGAAGCAACTCATTTTCTAAATTGTGCACATTAAATGTATGAGTGCAGGTTTGGTCACTTTGACCAACGTTATAACCATAAAATTATGCATACTTTAACTCTGATTGTGTATCTTCACGAAATTTAGATTTTAGTAAGCATTACATAGCTTTTATACAAAAAATCAAAGTTTTTAGTAAATACTTTAAAGATTTGACCATGAATTATGATTATAACCATAAAATTATACATACTTTAACTCTGATTGTGTATCTTCACGAAATTTAGATTTTAGTAAGCATTACATAGCTTTTATACAAAAAATCAAAGTTTTTAGTAAATACTTTAAAGATTTGACTATGAATTCAAAATGTCTTTACTTGGCCAGTCTGAGTGAAAGGTTATTTTCATGCTAAGAATATAAACACTTCTGTGCATAACCTCTAAAATATCCTAATTGAATATCAAAAGTTTTTTTCAGTAAAAAATTTTATTTTATCTGTTATATTCTCTGCCCTAACACTAACTGTTATATTCTCTACCCTAACACTAACTGCAATATTCTCTACCCTAATACTAACTGCAATATTCTCTACCCTAACACTAACTGCAATATTCTCTACCCTAACACTAACTGCAATATTCTCTACCCTAACACTAACTGTTATATTCTCTACCCTAACACTAACTGTTATATTCTCTACCCTAACACTAACTGCAGTATTCTCTACTCTAACACTAACTGCAGTATTCTCTATCCTAACACTAACTGTTATATTCTCTACCCTAACACTAACTGCAATATTCTCTACCCTAACACTAACTGTTATATTCTCTACCCTAACACTAACTGTTATATTCTCTACCCTAACACTAACTGCAATATTCTCTACCCTAACACTAACTGCAGTATTCTCTATCCTAACACTAACTGTTATATTCTCTACCCTAACACTAACTGCAATATTCTCTACCCTAACACTAACTGTTATATTCTCTACCCTAACACTAACTGTTATATTCTCTATCCTAACACTAACTGTTATATTCTCTACCCTAACACTAACTGTGGCAAAATCATCAATGTAGAGGAAAATGAAAAGTTGAAAAATATAAATTAATTTAAGTTACTCTTTTTTTATTTCTATTTATTCTTATAGACAGAGCTGACTTTACAAATCTGGTTTTGTTGCTTTACAACTGCACTTAGACCCTGTAAGAGGATGCTGAAATACATTTATCATAGCTGAACGGTGTTGTGTAAACCGACAATCGAGTTACAAGCAGCCCATAATTGAATTACAATCCCAACGTGCATTGTGCACCTGCTAGGATATTGAGTATCACAAGAAATTTTTCATACAAGTTTTTTATCTAGCCTCATAAGTTTCTAATTTATACAAATTAATTACTTTTATAATCAATAAATAACAAATGTACATAAAAACAAATTTAGTACTTAAGAGTGAAGCTCAAGCCATTTGCTGTCAGAAGACGAAACACCATAAGCCTAATTTTTTGTAATGATGGTGGTGGTCCAAAATATTATTAATTTTTATTTCAAATATGCAATTTAGAACACAACACATTATCGTGTCTACAAACTAGAACAAATTTAAAACTACTGTAATTAAAGTAGCTTCCTAGTTAAGTTATAAATAGGTTAATAAATTCCATTAGTTAGTCAAGCTTGTCCCACAAAGGTAAGCAATAAAACTAAGGCTAAATAGTTCCTAACCTGGCACCTAAACAAATCTTATAAATAATCCAATAATAACTGTCAGAGAGAATTATTGACATTTTTTGAAAGACAGGGTGAGATAGGAGGGGCTTGGCATGTAGGTTTGACTTTCTTGTTTATGTCTCAGTAAGGCAATAATCTTGAAGGCTGTGAATTTACATTATGGCTTATTAATAGCTATCATATAAGTGTGTAATTGGTGGCACTCTCAAAATAACATATAGGGATAGAAACAAAGTTCAAAATATGCATGTAAAATAGAGAAGAAAAGATTGAGAACTTGTATAAATACTTCTTTCTGAAATTAACAAATTGAAACTTGTATAATATTAAAATTTTAATTATAAACTTATATTTTTATTCCAAATGTGTTGACATATATTGATAATAAAGTTATTTAATTAAGTTTTGAATGTAACTAAAAAGGTTATGACATATGCACTTTGACCCACTCGTGCTCGTAGGGTTAATTGCACTGAACTGTTTCTTAACAGTAATGATATTAGAATATGTGGAAAACAGGTCCCCCCTCCTTGTGAAGATCCAAATGATATGTCGTCAACTTTAAATACAGAAGACAATGGTTCTCTGACTGCTGCTTCATCATTGGAAGAACAGATGACACCATCTTCAAATACTCGTGCTTCTGCCCGACAGTTACAACAGCAACAAGTGTCATCCCCAAAATCTACAACAGAACTGATAGAGGTAGAGATAATTTGATACTTTGTTTTTTATTTCTGAACTAGGTTAAGTATTAGTAAAAGTGTTTTGGCTAATATGTTCTTACTCTGGCACAATTTGTTTGATATTATATCTTGTTCTTACAACCGTTTTAAAGTACAGCTAACAACAAAACCTTGTAGTAGAAATGTATATATAAAGTCTGGTTAGTTAACTCGCTGTTTCAGAAAAAGGTCTCGACTAAAAAGTATCATTTGTATATCAGGATGCTGGCCATGTGTTCATTTATTATGTTCAGTAGTGTTTTGTTTATAAAAGAACCTTGATCTTGTATTAATTAATTGTAAAATAATTATAATTTTGATATTTATTAGCTTTAGACTTTAATAGCTGTTATATTTGGTAATTTATGCTTTGGAAGCTCTATGAAATCCTAAAAGAAAAATTACAACCATCCAGTGAATTTAGTGAATAACTGGAAATATGTGAAGCTCTTTCTATCTAGTTGGCAAGGTAGACAATAATGAAAGTTGGACATGTGTTATAATTTTTGAGATTTTAAAAAATTAGATTTCTAACTGCGAAAGTTTGGAGGAAAGGCTAATTGACTAAGAACATCACCATTTGTGTAACTAACAGGAATTGATGGAAGTTCAAGCTAGCTCTTGCCCACCAGTCACACGTATGTCTACAAGACAGTCACAAAGGAAATCAAACCAACGGCAAACTGGAACTTCCAGTAGGAAAACGGGGAAGCTAGAAACTTCTCAAACGCCTGTTGAAGCCAGTGCTAAAATAGGCAAGTGCTTAGTTCCATTTAGTTATGTCTAGAATCAGTTTAAACCTTTAACTGCCAGTGTTTGGTATCTTTCCAGGTTTATGTTTCTAAAACACAAACATTTCAAATATGTGGTATCTGTGAGTGACACCATTTGAAACATACATTTGATTCTTTTGGTCAACTTATGTTACAATCAAAACTGCTACACAATATAGCCGTTTACTTCACCATTACCTCTGCATTGCAAAACAGCTGAAATGATAGTCAGTATTGATACTTATCTTACTCTAATGGACGTAGCATGTATCTATCTATGTATGTGGCCGAAATAATAAATACAATATGGCACCATCATGTTCACTTTTTCTAAATGTTTTTCAATGAGGTATGAATACTACGGTTAGTAATTACTATCACAAACAGCCCTCCATAGGGTGGCATTTCTGCTAATACTATAAATAGGTGTAGTGATGAACACACTGTAATGCTGAAAGAAATGATGAAATAAAAAAAAACGTATAACATGTTAAAACTAATATAAATAGATAGACTTATATAAATCTCACTTGTTTTCTTGGGCTGAGATTTAATAACAAATTTAATTTGTGTTCAAAAAGATTGTAACGTCACTTACCTTTAACCAATAGCAAATTACGTTCCTAGTATTCGCTTTACTGCCAAGATAATTACTTCAGTAAGATAAATAAACAAGCACAGAAACTCTTAAGTTAATTTATTACCTTCATGTGACATAACTAAATGGAAACAAAAAGTCTCGTACCACATACACAAATGTCTAATTGACTTGGGACAATATAACAGTTTTTGAGTTCTTGTGTACGTGCGTAAAGAAGGAAGGAGGTTCTATTGTTGTCCGAAAAGAAATAATCCCAGGTTTCAGATGATATATTTACAGTTTGAATAACTTTAGAAAGTAATAATGGAAAACATTGGCATAATTGAATTTTACAGTTGTTGAAGTCATCAATTTCAAGTCCCCTGGTGGGACAGGAGTAAGTTTATAGACTTACAATGCTAAAAATTAGTATTTGAATCCTCACAGTAGATAACCCAATATGGCTTTACTCTAAAACAACTTCAAAAATTCACTGTTTTTAAACATTTTAATGAAAAATAAGCTTTTAAATTGTTGAAAATCTATGCATTTTAAGTTTTGTTTCATCTATTGACAAGTGTTCTCTGTGCTGTTGAAAAATTTAATGTTTTCCACCATCTGAATAAAAATTTCAACAAAAGGCCGAAAACCGACAATTAGGACTACAGGTTCGATTTGTATTATTATTATTTAATTATTTCATCCAAAAATGCTAATAAAACTTGCATCGAAAGAAAAGTTTAAATCTTATCTCTTCAGTTATGATTATATTTTGAAATAAATTTCTGAAGCTACATCACAAATAGTATTTCAGAGTTTGATGTTGCACATTTTTTCCGGGTAGTATCTGGAATGTCTGGGTTGGAAAGGGCTAATGCATATTATTTTTATAACTTTAATTTCCTGACTGATCACTGATAGACTTTAAGTAACTGTAGTACATAATTTTGTGTACTGTATGTGATGAATGCACTTTGAAGCTCTGTATTGATATTTTATGTGATGAATGCACTTTGAAGCTCTGTATTGATATTTTATGTGATGAATGCACTTTGAAGCTCTGTGTTGATATTTTATGTGATGAATGCACTTTAAAGCTCTGTGTTGATATTTTATGTGATGAATACACTTTGAAGCTCTGTATTGATATTTTATGTGATGAATGCACTTTGAAGCAACACAGAGATATTTTATGTGATAAAAGCATGTTGCATCTCTGTTGTGATATAATCTTCACATTTGTTCTCAGTAAAGGTTTGTTTCTGTTTCTGATTTATACAGCCTGCAACATACATTCTGATAAAGTAGAAGGATTATGCAACAGTACAGAAGGTTTTACAGCTTTATGTACTTTAAGCTTATTTAACTCGCAGTGTGTGTTAAGCAAGACAATTGCAGTACTAGCATATTAAGAAAGCCTTCTTTTATATACTGTAAATTTGAATCACTCTTTTTTTAGATCAGTGTTTAAACCGAGTCTTTGTATTTTGAATTTTCCAATCTAACCAAGTGTTTTTTGTACAGTTCTGATTTAAAATCATAATATAACTTTTTAAGAGGATTCTAAAAATAAATAAGATTTGTTGAATGTGATATTTTATTACATTATTTAGGCTTGAATTGCTTTTAGAAAAACATGTGCCAATTCTAGAATTTTTTTTAAATCTATTATTGTACCTTAAGAAGCTTCATGTGTTAAAATTTCCTGAATTTCTAGTTTGGTATTTATCTACTGTTATCTCAGTGAATCTTATCTGTCATAAAGAGCAAAATATTAAATAATAGGACTCTGAATTGTATATGAATTATTATGTTTACCCTGTATTACAATGATTTGTTTAAAGAACTCTTTAGGATAATCTTTCAAATAAAACGTTTGGTATGTTTACCTAACCTGATTTTGTTTTTACGTATTTGTTGCTGTCGCTCATTTCCTGTACTGTTCTGTACAATACTGTCTTGTATTTGTTGGGTTGCTTTTTTTTATATATTAGGTTTTTCAATTCTGTGTTTAGTTAAATGTTTCTTAATAGATTTTTAATTGTTAATTTTTATCGGAGATGTGCGAGTGTTTCTTTTTTGTTTGTTATTGTTTGGTATTTAAATATAAGTGTATGTAAAATACATCCACTATTGTTGGAACAAGAAGTTTCAACACTTTCATGTATCCTCTTCAGTCCAACTTTTATTTGTGAGAGAAACACATACATATTTTTTAATGGTCATTTTAAGCCTCTTGAGGGCATATGACATCACTAAGGTGTTCAGTTTATAGTGACCTTCTGAAGTGTTGAAGTTTAACAGTGTTGGAAATTATGTCAAAAGAAGAATTGTAGAAAGTTTGTTAGTTCAAACATTGCCAAACTTCAACATTTCAGAAGGTCATTATAAACTGAACACCATAGTGATGTCGTATGCACTCAAGGGACCTGGAATAACCGTTATAAAATAAACTGTATGTGTTTCTCTCACAAATAAAAGTTAGACTGAAGAGGACACATGAAAGTGTTGAAAATTGTTTCCACATAAACTTCTTGTTCCAACAAAAGTGGATGTAAACTTTATTTTATGTTACTCTACGCAGTATTGTGTATTTACTTGCTATCATTAGTGTATGTACTTAAATGTAACTGTACTTTATTTTTCTAGAGGTCCAGTGGTTAGGGCACTTGACTCGTGATCTGTGGATCACAGGTTTAATACCACTCTTGTCAGTACAAGAGTAGTCCAAGAGTTGGTGATGGATGGAGTTAACCAGCTGCTGTCACTTTAATATTAGGGACACTAGTGCAGATAGCTCTTGAATGGATTTGGGGGAAATTAAACAAACAAAGTTTTTCCATTTTGTAAAAGTACAGAATCATGAATAATCAAGCAAAAAATTATTTGTTTAATTTTATTGATTGCTTTGACAGATCTATGGAATTTTTTACTTTCATTGTCTCAAAAATTTAACATGTAAATTTGTGATTTCTTGTCTGTAGTTTAAATTTAAAAACTTTAATTTGTGTTAATATATATATATATATTGATTCTTCTGATAGAAATCACTGCAGATGGAGCCACTGGAAGTGTGGAAAAAGAGACAAAAGAACTTTCAGATGAATTCTTAGATCCTACTAAAGTTAGTTTTGGTTTTCATTTTTTATATATAAAGTATTCATTCTTTAAAAAAAAAAACTGATGGATTAAAGTGTTTCAGTTTGTGTCCTATAGCTTAAGAATCACTCACAATTCATAGTGTACTACAATATCTGTAGTTAAAAGGTTGGTTTCTAGTTAATTTTGACTTCAGATTTCTATCCATAGTAAATTCATAATAACTTTTTAGATAAGATTTAAAGTGGCTTTTTAGTTTTAAAAATGTACCTGCTTGTACTTACAAAATGTTAGTAAGTTATCAAAGAATAATTAGTGAACGTTTTGATGGATTTTTTTCCATAAACAAGTGTACTAATACTGCAACATTGTGTTTGGTTGATGACTAGTGCACATGTTAAAAGAGTTGGTAATGTGTAAAAAGTATTACTGTTCAATTTATTTTTGTAGTATATATATTGAGCCGTTGGTGCTTTGCTTGTTGTCAGTGAACTTGGAAATATTTGATTATTTACCAGACTATCTATACTTAACATATGGCTGGTGAACTTGAAAGATATAACGTATAGCTGGTGAACTTGAAAGATATAACATATGGCTGGTGAACTTGAAAGATATAACATATGGTTGGTGAACTTGAAAGATATAACATATGGCTGGTGAACTTTAAAGATATAACATATAGCTGGTGAACTTGAAAGATATAACATATGGTTGGTGAACTTGAAAGATATAACATATGGCTGGTGAACTTGAAAGATATAACATATAGCTGGTGAACTTGAAAGATATAACATATGGCTGGTGAACTTGAAAGATATAATATATAGCTGGTGAACTTGAAAGATATAACATATGGCTGGGGGAATTGAAAGAG